AAAGGTTAAAAGGATCAGTGAAATGAGTAATAGCTTATGGAGGTGGGGTGGGGGGATGGCAACAGGAATCCTCCAAACTGAGCATCTTCGGGGACAAACCAAAAATGGTAACATGGGTGAACTGCTAGATATATAGAAAGGGCTCAACGCAATGCTAAGGGCTTACATTTTAGCCCTTTAAGCAATACTTCACAAATGACTAATCTTTATTGCTACCCCTCCCAGAAATAGCTTCATTTTAGAGCCCCCTCTTTTTAGAGATACTCCAAGAACCACAAAAATGGTACTGATGTTAATAACACCGCTGTGGTTCTCCACAAAATATAAGAATGTTTAAAAATTTTTTTAAAGATTTTTTATTTATTCATTTGAGAGAGAGAGAGAAAGTGAGTGAAAGCATGGGCGCAGGGAGGGTCAGAGGGAGAGGGAGAAGCAGACTCCCCGCTTAGTAAGGAGCCCAATGTGGGACTCCAACCCCAGGACCCTGGGATCATGACCTGAGCCGAAGCCAGACACTTAACCGACTGAGCCACCCAGGTGCCCCAAGAATGTTTAAAATTAAAAAAAAAAATTAAGTTTAAATTTTTGTTTAAAATTTGTAAATATTTTTAAATTGTAAAAGATAAACCAGTGAAGGAGATCTTATAAATCTGAATGTATGCTCCAAATAGGCAACACCCTAGAATGTGGGAATAAGGCAGATAATTGGGTAAGGTAATTTATATGCATGTTGACAGCAAGACCAAGGGATCTCCTGACTCTTATGGAGAAAACTAGGATTTTTTTTTTTAAAGGTAATGCTTAAAAATGAGCATTTTTTTCCACAAACATTAGCTCATTTGATCCCCCAAAATAACCCTATGAAGTGAGTTCAAGTGCTGTTATTGTTCCCATTTTACAGATAATGGAATGAGATTTAGTAGAACAAAGTGAAATACCCAAAGTCACACAGCCCGTGTACAGCTGTGATTTGTCCAAGCCCAAATCCTATGCTTATCCTTACTTCTACATCAGGCACTGAGACTAACATATAATAAATGTACTAATTTGGGGCTCCTGGGTGGCTCAGTCGTTAAGCATCTGCCTTCGGCTCAGGTCATGATCCCAGGGTCCTGGGATCGAGCCCCGCATCGGGCTCCCTGCTCCGCGGGAAGCCTGCTTCTCCCTCCCCCACTCCCCCTGCTTGTGTTCCCTCTCTCGCTCTGTCTCTCTCTGTCAAATAAATAAATAAAATCTTTAAAAAAAATAAATGTACTAATTTAATGCAATTGTTAATTAATGTTAATTCAACAAACATATTTTGAGTGCCTACTACTAGCCAGACCCGGGGCAAATCCCTGCTCTCAAGGAGCTTACAATCTAATGGGGAGGCAGACATGTAAACAGACAAGAGTAGGTGAGAAGTGCTGTAAGAACACACACACAATGTGAAATGGGTCACACAGAAAGGAACACCTAAGTGCACCCAGCACCCTTCTTGAGACTACATTGTCCTAAAGAAGGGTGGCCAGCCTCATGGGAGTCTTTTTTGTTTTTTTAAGATTTTATTTATTTGACAGAGAGAGAGAGTGCATGCACAAGCAGGGGGAGCTGCAGGCAGAGGGAGAGGGAGAAGTAGCCTCCCTGCTGAGCAGGGAGCCCGACATGGGGCTGGATCCCAGGACCCTGGGATCATGACCTAAGCTGAAGGCAGATGCTTAACCGACTGGGCCACCCAGGTGCCCCCTCATGAAGTCTTTAAAATGGAGTCAAAGGTAGCTTCTTAATAGGGTGCCTTCCTCCATCATTCTCCACTTCTGATTCTGTTGGCCAGTACTAGTAATTGAGAAAAGAAAAAACTACTTCTAGTATAGAAAAAAGTAATCATCGAGTCTCATAACCTATATAGTAGACTTACCCAACCTCTTTTGCTCAAATGCTGAGCTGCCCAAACAATCTTCCGAATTGTATTTAGGAACACTGGGTTGAACCATTCCAGCAAGAGGAAATAAATACCCACTATAAATAACCTGTTTATCCCACCAAGGTCTTCTTTTTGTTGTGAATTAATAGGTAGTTATTCTGGTCTAGAAAGCAGCTGTTGGGAGAGTTAGCATCAGTCAATTCTCAGTGCCAGTGCCATCCAATGGAACTTTCTGTGATTCTGTTCAATAGGGTAGCTAGCCACATGTGGCTATTGAACATTTGAAATGAGTCAAGGGAAACTGCAGAGGCGATTTACAATGTTATTTAGTTTTAATTAATTAATTTAATTAATTTAAATGGTAATTTAATTGGTAGCCAGTGCCTACCAATTTGGACAGCACAGCTCTAGATCTTGCTACTCAAAGTGTGGTCTGCATCACCTTATTAGTTTGTTAGAAATACAGACTCTCGGGTCCCACCGCAGGCCTCTTGATTCAGAAACTGTATGTTAACAAGATCCCCAGGTGATCTGTATGTACGTTAAAATTTGAAAATGGCATGGTCACTTCTGGATGAGCTGGAAAAAAAAAAAAGGATTGACTGAGGACCCTATTTGCGGTAAACCCTCCGAATTGCAGACACCCACACTTGAAACTGGTGTCCAGCGTAAGGGGCTTGATTGCTTGCTTGCTTCTTGCTTTCTTTCCTTTTTAAAGATTTTATTTATTTATTTTTATTTTATTATTTATTTATTTCAAACAGAGAGAGTGAGCACTAGCGGTGAGGAGGGGCAGAAGGAGAGGGAGAGAAGCAGACTCCACTGCTGAGCAGGGAGCCCCACATGGCTGGATCCCAGGACTCTGGGATCATGACCTGAGCCAAAGGTAGCTGCTTAACTGACTGAGCCACCCAGGTGCCCCAAGGGCTCTTCTCTCTTTATATCTGCCTCTCCTTTGTCCCTTAAACAGAAAGGGGTCTAAGGACTAGTCTAAATGGTCTAAGTATAGGATAGGGGGTAAGGAATGGGATGGGAAAAACATGTGTTTCTCAGCGATACTTATACAAAATAAATGATGGAATTCCCTTGATAATTACTGAATATGAATGATGGGTATATGAGAGTTTATTGTACTATTTTCTCTACCTCTGCATATGTGTGAAATTTTTCAAAATTAAAAACTAGATGTGATTTCAAAGATGTGTGTGATAACCTCCAATATGGCCCCCAATGATCCTCTCCTTCTAGTATTCATGCCTTTGTGTAGTCTTCTTTCATATTGAATCAGGGCTGGTCCATGTGACCAAGGTGGAGATAGCAGACATGACCTTGGAGAGCTAGGTCATTGTGACTCCTGCCTTGCTCTCTCTTGGATCTCTTGCTCTAAGGGAAGTCAGCTACCATGCTGGGAGGACACTCAAGCAGGCTTGTGGAGAGGCCTTTAAGGAGGCCTTTACGGCCTCCTGCCAACAGCCAGCTGCAAGAGCGAGTCCCATAAGCAAGCCTCTGTGGAGTTGATTTTCTAGCCCCAGTTGAGCCTTCCAACGACTGTAGCTCCATCTGACATATGACTGCAACTGCTTGAGAGACCTCCAAGCCAGAACTGCCTGCCAAGCCACACCTGAATCTCTGAACAACAGAAACCGTGAAAGGCACTAAATGTATGTGGTTGTATTAAGCCACTGAGTTTTGGGGTAATTTGTTATGCAGCAATAGAGTACTGATGCAACGTCATCTCAGTATTTCCTACTCCCTGAATACTCTCCCCACCTTATCACCAATGCCTCAAATGAACAGGAAAAGACCTTTCACACTACGCATAAGGTTAACATGCTAATACCCCTTGAAGAGATAATACATTCACTTAAATTCAATGTAAAACATAAGTGACAGATATAAATTCTTTCTTTTTAAAACTTAGCAGGCTAATGTATTGAGACATTAATTTCAGTCTCGCTCCTGCTGTTGTAAGAGACTGGGAAGAATAAAAAGGTAATTTCTCCCCCAGGGCCTACCATCTCAAGAACAGCTATAGTCTTGAGTTATAAGGTCTAAGCTCTTCTTACAACTCCCTCATTCCATGCCCAACCCCCACCACCACACACTGGTTAACAGCTTCTTGGTGGTAAGGGGCGCCTGGGTGGCTCAGCCAGTTAAACGTCTGCCTTCAGCTGAGGTCATGATCTTAGTGTCCTAGGATTGACCTTGGGCTCCGGGCTCAGTGAAGCCTCTGCTTCTCCCTCTCCCCCTGCCCCTCCTCTCCACTCATGTGCTCTCCCCCCATCCTCTCTCAAATAAATTAAAAAATCTTAAAAAAAAAAACCAAACCCCCAGCTTCTTAAAGAAGACCACCACGCCGACCTCCCACTCACCACCCCGCCATCCCAGCTTTATCTTGAGGATTAGGTAATAGAGAAGGTATGTTGGAATTGCTCCATATGGAAAAGGTTTTGGGGTTTCCAGAAGTGGAAGCCCGTCCCTGTCTTATACGAAGTAAGAGAGAGAGAGTGTGAGTGTGTGTGTGTGTCTCGTCTGGACAGGTGGGACCCTGGGGCCTGGCCATGCACCACAGACAGCAACCCGTTACCTGCACTCTTGCCCATCTGGCTTGCAGGCTGTGGAAATTACCCTTCGGTGGTACCCCAACGATGGTGGAATAATAACAAGACTGAAACACACACAAAAACAAGGCTCTTCCCCCAATCTTTCCCCACATTTTTGAGACTTCACAGTCCTAGAGAGAGAAGTGGGGGAACCTCAGAACGTGACTAATGAATTTCCCGCCAACACTGACAGGCGGGAGCTGAGCCAGGTGGCTTTAATTTGTAGGATGAGAAGACATGTGACGCTTCTTGTCCCGGAGTCAGTTGCAGCGCATTCATTCCAGCTAGACCTAGTTTCCCTGGGAGCGGTTTCGGTAGGTAGAAGGGTGGCGGATAGTGACAAGAATTCAAGAAGGTGGAGGAAGCAATAGGGGAGCTAGGGGCCAGAATCCCCTGGTGACGGTTTCGGTCCCCAGGCACCGGCCCCCACTCCCTCGGAGAGAAGAGGACCTGGCGCGCGGCCGCCCGTCCTGCTCCGACACAAACACACGCACGTGCGCCCCGCCCCCGCCGCGCGCACGCGCCCCGAGGCTCCGGCGGCGGCGACGGGCGCGCGCGCCGTGCTCGCTGCCCCCACGCCGCTCCCTCCGCTCGGATCGCTGCGCCTCCCGCTCCCTGCACCGCTCCTCGCGGAACCCGCGGAACCGGAGGCGGCGGCCGTGGTCGGTGGGCTCCTGCGGGTGCAGCGGTCGAGGCGGCGGCGCGGGGGAGCGGAGCGGAACCCGGCAAGTCCCCGGGAGGCGATGTGGCCGGGCGCGGGCCCCTGCGTGAGGCGAGCGCCGCGACAGGCCGGCCGGTGAGGCGCCGCTTGGGGGAGGCCGCGACGGAGCTCCCGGACCCGCCATGGGCTGAGACACGTCCTTGCCGAGCAGGTGCAGTGACCAGCGGTCCCGGGGGTGCCCGCCCCGACAGGCCCCCGGGAACCCTCAACCCTGTCAGTAGGCGCCCTACCCAGCAGGTGTGCCCTGTTGACCTTCCCTCGGCTCTTCCCCTCTAGAGGCCCTGCTGACCCCAATGTCAAACCCGGCCCGTGCAGCCCCTGTGAAACCAGCAGCCCCTAACTAGCATCCGGGGCATACCCCCATCTTACAGTCCGTGACCCGAGCCCGGTAGGCCCCTGTGCTCACCTCCTCTGCCCAGTGTTTTGAGCCCACTGCCGGCACAGCGCTTGGGAACTACCCAGCATCTCTTCGTTTCTCTTCTAGCCCAACATAGGGGTGGAGGGGGGGGACGGAGTGTGGCAGGGAGGAGGAAGGGTCAGTCCTTCCCTGCAGAGGCCCTGGTGACCCCAATCCCCTCCTCTCTCTCTCTCTTAAGCCTGGAGTGAAAGTGACCCTTCCTTATCCCACCAGAACATGCCCGGGTGACTCTCTCCCCGATCTTCCTGGTGGCCTTCCTCGCCCTTCCCAGTGACACTATGCAACCCCAGCGAGACCCGCGAGGCCTCTGGCTCCTGCTGCTCTCCTTGTTCCTGCTCCTCTTTGAGGCGGCCAGGGCTGGCCGTCCTGTGGTTAGCTGTCCTGCTGCCTGCCTGTGTGCCAGCAACATCCTCAGTTGCTCCAAGCAGCAGCTGCCCAACGTGCCGCACTCCTTACCCAGCTACACCGCACTGCTAGACCTCAGCCACAACAACCTGAGCCGCCTGCGGGCCGAGTGGACCCCCACGCGCCTGATCCACCTGCAGTCCCTGCTGCTGAGCCACAACCACCTGAACTTCATCTCCTCCGAGGCCTTTTCCCCCGTACCCAACCTGCGCTACCTGGACCTCTCTTCCAACCAGCTGCGCACACTGGACGAGTTCCTGTTCAGTGAACTGCAGGCCCTGGAGGTGCTACTGCTCTACAATAACCACATCGTGGCAGTGGACCGCTGCGCCTTCGACGACATGGCCCAGCTGCAGAAACTCTACCTGAGCCAGAACCAGATTTCCCGCTTCCCTTTGGAACTGGTCAAGGAAGGAGCCAAGCTCCCCAAACTCACCCTCCTGGATCTCTCGTCCAACAAGCTCAAGAACTTACCGTTGCCCGACCTGCAGAAGCTGCCCGCGTGGATCAAGAATGGGCTGTACCTACATAACAACCCCCTGCACTGCGACTGTGAGCTCTACCAGCTCTTTTCACACTGGCACTACCGGCAGCTGAGCTCCGTGATGGACTTCCAGGAGGACCTGTACTGCATGAGCTCCAAGAAGCTGCACAACGTCTTCAACCTGAGCTTCCTCAACTGCAGCGAGTACAAGGAGCATGCCTGGGAAGCCCACCTGGGGGACACCTTGACCATCAAGTGTGACACCAAACAGCAGGGGATGACCAAGGTGTGGGTGACCCCAAGCAATGAACGGGTGCTAGATGAGGTGGCCAATGGCACGGTGACGGTGTCCAAGGATGGCAGTCTTCATTTCCAGCAGGTGCGGGTTGAGGATGGGGGTGTGTATACCTGCTACGCCACAGGGGAGGCTTTCAACGAGACACTGTCTGTGGAGTTGAAAGTGTATAATTTCACCTTGCATGGCCACCATGACACCCTCAACACGGCCTATACCACCCTAGTGGGCTGCATCCTCAGTGTGGTCCTGGTCCTCATATACCTGTACCTTACCCCTTGCCGATGCTGGTGCCGGGGTGTCGAGAAACCATCCAGCCATCAAGGAGACAGCCTCAGCTCTTCCATGCTTAGCACCACCCCCAACCACGATCCTATGGCTGGTGGGGACAAGGACGATGGTTTTGACCGGCGGGTAGCCTTCCTGGAACCTGCTGGTCCTGGGCAGGGTCAAAATGGCAAGCTCAAGCCAGGCAACACCCTGCCAGTGCCTGAGGCAACCGGCAAGGGCCAGCGGAGGATGTCGGATCCGGAATCGGTCAGCTCGGTCTTCTCTGATACACCCATTGTGGTGTGAGCAGGATGGGTTGGTGGGGAGATTCTGCCCCAGGAGAGGTAATGCACCCCTGAAGGATATGAGGGGATGGAAGAGCGGGCTGGCTGCCCAAGGGAGTGGGTTCCCCCTGACCTCAAGGGAATTGGTCACGGGTACAATAGCTGGCTCGACCTCAACCAGGGTGTGGCTGCCACGATTTTCAAATAGGGATATATTAATCCTCAGGCAAGTGCTACACCCTTACCCAAAGCCCTGGGAATTCTCCATGTGGTAGAGGAAAAGGAGCATGTCTGAATTGGGTGGGAATGAGGAAGGGGTGGGGGGAAGAGCAGATTCCCTAAACTTTTTCGAGGTCATCCTTAGCTCCTTAAGAGAAAATCATTTGGGGAAAAAAAAAATTTTTTTTTCTATCTCTGCCCACCCACATCTGTGACGTTGTGTGTGTTGGGGGGCGGGTCTTCCACAGGAGCCACACTGGGGAAGAGCTGTAGTATCTTCTTTGGCCAGGAGGTCACACTTCACAGCTGGGGAAATTGGAAACCTTGGGAAAAATGAGTTAGGAAAAGGCTGAGACCTTATTAATGTTCCCTAAAGCTGATGTGATTTCCCACTAAGGCCTCTCTTTCGCGATGAGTCCTGGATGGACAGATCTTTGCAGGAGTCTGGCCTGTTGCCTGTCAGATATGGCAACAATGAGAGATGCGGTATCTGTGCCAGGGCCTGGAATCAGTGGCACAGAGGGATACAGCATGAACCGAGGGGGTGGGGGTGGGGGGGGGTCTGTGTCACGGCACAGGTGCCGGCACAAAACTCGTAGTTGGAGGATAAACTCCAGATTTGCAAATTCTCTGGTTGGTGAAACCCTTGGTTAGCACTTGGTTCCCAGTACCTGTGTGTCAGACCAGGGTGGGGGCTGCTGAAAGCAGAGCTTTTATGCATGCCTGCCCCAACCTGGGATGGGGGGCCTCTTCAACACGAGGAGGAGGAGGAAGAGGAGGGGTAAATCAGCCTCTGTTATGTAGCATCCAGCTGGACCTACCTGATTGCCTGATGCCATCTCTTCTCTCAGGCTTCTTAGCAAGCTCAGGTGGGATTGAGTTTTCCCTAATATGCTGCTCTGCAAATGGAGGAATCCTGGAGAGTCTGGCCCCAGCTGCGTTACACTGGGCTTGGGGATGGAGGGGACCGGTTATGTATCTTCTCTATGTTGACACCCTGCTGCGAAGCCAAAGCATGGGATTTCATCATCCAAGGGGTTGGAATTGGGTGGTCTCTGCCCCAGAATGGCAAGTTGGAGTGCGGCTTAGAGCCCTGCCCCTCTCCACAAGGTTCCAGGCGGTCCTGTTAACAGAGACGGGGGCACTAAACTTTCAGAAGGAAAGTTCTGCCGCCGCCATCCCTCTCAGCCAGAGGTCAGTGCAGTTGTGACGGTCAGGCCAGAGGAACTTAAGAGCGGGCCCAACATTCCATTCCATCCAGGGTTGCAGAATATTTTGGGTATGGAGTTGACTGCACCCCTTGACTATCCTGCAGGCCCCGGGAGATGAGTGCTCCTAGCTTTGGCAAGGGGATGAGCAGGGCAAAGGTGAAAATGTTCTCTGACGTTGGTCTTTTTCAGTGTCTCCCCTTCTCCCAGCCAAGCTCCCTGTCCACTGGACATTCTCCAGATCTTCTAGTTTTCTGACCTGCTCTTTAGGTTCCAAGGGGTATGTCCTCTACCTACGGGTGAGGGCTGCTTGCTAGGAGGGCCTGACTCCCGCTGCCTGTTAAGACTGGGAAAGGGGACTGGAACTCAACATCTTCCCTTGTCTGTTCCTGGGATGTCAAGACTGCTGTCCATCCTTTCTTAGTAACCTAGTTTGTCGAGAGAGGTGCAGCATTTCCCTCAAGTACTTGCATGCTCCTAGGTATGCATGCTTCCAAGTGTGCATGCACACTAGCGCCTTGACTTCCCTCAGGACAGTGATTCTGTAGTCCCCACTAATGTCCCCGGTTCACAGTGGGTTCCACCTATGTGCCCAACTTCATGCACACAGCTACTTTGCCCCATGGGAGAGACAGTGACCACGCCAGGCTCCCCAGATACAAACACTTGTACTTTTCATTTCTGAATTCCCTGAAGCTTTCCCCGCATCTCCGTGGCACTGAGTAACTTCTCTGCAAAGGCTGGAGTTAGGAGAACTGCAGGTTGGCCACCTGGGAGAAGGGATGATGAGGAGCTGGCTGGTTCTTCAGACCCCTCAGAAACTTTCTTGAATTAAAGACAATATATGTGAGAAATGTAGAATTAGGTCAATGATGGACCTAGAAGGAAACGGGCAGGGGAACAAGCAGCTGTAAGTTGTTCTTCCTGTGTTAACTGCCCTGGAAAGACAGGGGCATGAAGGAAAACTTGTCTTGTTGTTATATTCCAGAGACGTCTGAGGATTTTGTTACTGGAGCTATAGTGACCAGGCCACCCTCCTCAGACTTATTAAGGAACCAGGGGAAATCTCATCTCCACGCGCAGTTTCCCACTGAGCACCACCTAGGGCTCTGAAAATCTTTAGGATAAATGTCAAATGAAGTTGGCCTTCTGGAGCATTCTGAGCTCCTGAGGACTAGGAGGGCCATTTTCTTCAGAAGTCCTACCCAGTTTAAGGAATAAGAAAAGACCCTGAGGCCCTATGTCTCCCTACTCTATCCACTAGGTAGGCCCCTCGTTTGAAAGACTGGTAGATGTGTCTGGCTGCCCCACCAGGAGAGTGAACTGATTAGCTTCTTCCCGTCGTTTCAGTTGATAGAACCCAAAGGTAGCTTTCTACTTGGGTGATTAGGTACTCAGCATATATAAGCTCACTAGAACCTCATGTTGGAAACTGCCAGGTCTGATAATAAGAAAAAGCTGAGAAATCCCTCCCTCCCTTCCCCCCACCCTGAACCCATAAACCAGACGTATCTCCCAGGAAGCAGGTGTCCCTGGAGACAGAATATGACAGGGCTGTACAATCTATGTGATTATTTGTGATCTTTTTTTCTTTGCCTGTATTTATGGGGCTCCTAGGAAGGGGCCAGGAGAGGGGACAGCCCAGCTGGGGACAGTAAAGCTGACTGATTCCCATTTTCTGTGTGTTCTTACCTCTGTACTTCCTTGTCGCCCTGCTGGCGAAGCAAGCAGGCCTCCCTGTGTCCAGGACCCCATCCCTCCCACTTATGTACACCCAGGCTGGCAAACCTTGGAGCCTCTGGGCTCTGAAAACTAGACTATGATCATTAAACCTGGCTTGAGTCTCTGTTCTGGCAATCTGTGACTGGTTCATTTATCTTTTCAGCCTGTGGGTAGGGCTCACTGTGCCTCAGAAGTGTGTGGCCTAAAGAGAGAATATTTAAGTGCCGTTATAAAGGCAAGGGCAGAGTCCACATCCAGGCATGAAAATAGACCAGGGTCAATGAACTTTTTTCTGTGAAGAGCCAGACAGTAAATACGTTAGGCTTTGCAGGCCGGGCGCTCTCTGTTACAGCGACTTAGCTGGGCCACTGTAGCAGGACGGTCACCACAGACAGTACATAAGCTGCAGAGTGTGGTTCCAGTACAACTTTATTTACAGACATTGAAGTTTGAATTTCATATCATTTTCACACAGCTTTTGAGTTTTTTCAACCATTTAAAAATATAAAAACTCTTATTAGCTCACACACCATACAAAACCCAGCAGTGGGGCTGGTTTGGGCCAGCTGACCAGTTTCCCGACCTGATAGATTCTCATAAGAAACATCACTGATGCGATAGCAGGAGAGTTTAGAAATTCTTTAACTTGGGGCTACATCCTGTGGATAATGAAGTCTTCCTGGATCCCTGGGGAGGAGGGCCGCCTCCCTACAGAGTTCTCTTAAAAGTCTGGATGAAGCCTACTAACTGTGATATGGAAAAACGCTTGCACTGGATTAAAAGAATTGGTGGAAAGCAGCTCAGTTTCAGTATTTTGGTTATTACCTGTATTTTTTTCATACTGTAAATGGTAACTATCTTAGTTTGGCTCAAAGCATATTCATTGAATGGGCAGGTTAATACTCATTGACAGTTTAATGCGTCCTAGGCATTGCGTAGACTGAGAAATGCAACCCTCACGTTCTTGGTACAGACACAGCCTACCAGGAATTGGACCCGGTTCTACTAAACGCTGAACATGCAAATTCTTTGGCTACTCTTTTGGTACTTCTGGAAGGAGATCGTCATGGTAGAGTCCAAGAGGGGAGAGGAAATGGTCTAAGGAAAACAGAAATTAAAAGCCGGAATTTGAATCATTACTTAATTCCCTACATTGATAAAATCTTGACCAAAGGGCAGCCCTCCTCTGTCTGGAGAGTTGTCTTGTTCTCTTCCTGAGGAACCACCGAAGGAGACACCTCACCAGCCACATCAGACAAATCAACCTTGGCAGGCAAGTGAAATGGCAGATGATGCCAGAGTGCCCCCATAGTCTACATTTACATGGCACTTTTTCATCTTTTCAGAGCAGTTTTTGCTGCAGCTGACGTTGGCCACGAGGACGCCGGTAAAGAGAACGGGTCTGGGAAGACTGCTGGGTGTTCTCGCATCATGGCCTGTGCCAAGCCCTGACTCTGAGCCTGAAAAGTTTTGGTGCTCTTTTCCCCCATCATGCCAAAGAAGTCCATGGCTGCATCTCAGGCCCCCCACCCTCAAGCCACAAGAAACTCCCTAAGTTCTGGTCAAGACGTGCAATTTTGTCTGCCATGTCTTGCGGCACTCTCCTTAGCTCCTCTTAGTGGCATTTCAGGGGAGTGGGGGAGGCTGATAGGACAGGTGCCTTGGAGAACAGAAGTTGAGAGTTCAGTTGCACTGGCCAGCCTCGTCTCCCTTCCTCTTGAGCTCTCACCTCCTTCCCTTCTGCAGCTGTAGTTCTTGTACCGCTTTACCTTGTCTCCCAGGAAAATACTGTGAAGCTGCTTTCCCCATCCACACTGTAGAAAAGGCTCAGACCTGTGCAGTAGGAAGGTTGGCTTTTCTGGTCAGGCTGCAGCGAGCCTTTCCTTCCTCTCGTGGGGCTTGAGAGAGGAAAGCTAAAGTAGCTGCCACATCAAGCCTCTTCATCAGGCGTATATGCTATTGGGCAGGAAATCCCAAGTGGTAAAGATACACAGACCTGCCCTGAGGCCTTCCAGTCTACGTCAGCGTGGTTACTGTCCCAGAAACATAGAGGGCATGGAACTGTGGCCTGAGAGGACCATCCTTCTATGAGCCAGGACACGGAGCCCGGCAGGGAGACTTCCAGGAACCCTATGGCACTGGCATACATAAGGTGAGAGTCATTGGCCCCAAAGTTAGGGGTGTGTGTATGCACATGTGTGTCTGTGCACAAACATGCACACAGGGTGAAGGAGCACTGTAGCTGGACATAACTTGGTGCTGAATTCCCCTCACCTCCACTGCTCCCTTGCTTGGCCATACTTTGCTTTTGGTGGGGTCTAGCCAGAAAGGCCCAGCTCAGTCCTGGGCATCCTCAGCACAGCGAGATAACTCACAGTCTGCTTTAAAGAGAGGGTGCTGGGGGCCCCTCATGCATACAGTGAGACAAAGAGTTGAATCCTCTGGTACCACAGAATGGCCTGAAGTAGCTATTTAATCTGCTTTTAGCGGAGGTTAAAAAAAATCATCTGGGAAATTCTGACAATAACGGGTAGATTAAAAACTGGGGCTCTTATTCCCTGTACACTGGGGACTAGCCAAGCCTTCTGGGCGGATGGGTGGGGGAAGGCTGTCTTACTGGAGGTATTTTGGGTCTGCTTTAAGCTTAGCCCCATGCTAAGAACTGTCTCCTTCAAACCACCCTCAAGTCTGGGGCCTGTGGTTCTGCATTGTCACCCATGTCTTCTCCATGCCTGCGCTGGTGAGACATGCCGGGGCTATGCCCACAACACCTGACCAGTGTCTCACTGCTGGATCCCAGGCTGGGAAAAAACAAGATAAAAACCTGAATACACAATACACAGCCTTGCACTGCTGTGGTTCCTGCCTCTGTGTGTGCACCCCAGGCCGACTGCTGGCAGTTCTCAAGACACATGGAACAGAAAGTATCCTTCCCCTAATTTAACATGGAAGTAGAACTGCTTTCCGGGGGGGGGGGGGAGTGTAAGTGTGTTTTAATTCCTATAAAATCCTGTAAGGAGGAGGGGACTCTGATCCTCCTCCAGGAGCCTGTGACCAAGCTACACGTGTCACAGCTCTGCATCTCCAGCACCTGTTATGAGGGCCTGAGGCAGGCCTTGCTCAGCCTGGGGCTACAGGGGAAACCCGCGTGGGGGGAGGGGGGGCAGTGTCGTGTCCATTACTGTTGCTCCTGCCTTCCTGCCTTGTCTGCTGCACTTTTCCTTCAGAAGCGCAGAATTAAGGTAGGAGAGATGTAGAACAGACTTGTGACCTGGTCCAGGAACTTCAGGCTGGACGAGGGGACAAGTGCACTGATTTCCAGACTTACAATCAGCCCCATGCCCTGAAACCACCAGGCAGGCAGCACTTAGGACGGGCTTCGCTAGGCTCATAACCTTGGTGGCATTCCTGACCAGAGTGCATGACAGCTGATCTTTCATCTAGGAGGAGGAAATGTATGTGTGTGTGTGTGTGTGTGTTCCCTTACCATGGCCAACAACACAACCTCTCTGAGACTTGGGTCCCCTTGGCATCATCCATAACCGTTGATTGCCTCCCTAAAAGCATCAAACCCAGAGTCAGGCCAATTAAGAGAGAGTCAAGGACAAGAGCATACTTGTAAACACACCTGTTTCCATTTGTTTAATGCTTTGGACTTTCCAATGCCTGTTAACATAAATTCTCTGCTCTGACCCAACATCCCTGAGGCAGGTGGAGCAGTGAGCCATTTGCCTCTGGCCACACCGTTGTTAGGAGCCGAACAGACCGACTGCAGCTTTCCTGGGTCCTGGGTCAATGCACTTTTTGCTGCCTGAGACACCGGCTCTTATGTCAACCAGACACAGGGACAACAGAGCACTAACCCAGAAGCCTCCCTGCTCCCTAAGCCTGCAGAGGGCCCCCAGAAATGCTGATACTGGGGCATCAGGACCAGGGGTGTCCTCTGAAAGTCAAGACTGATAACAGAGGGAAGGGCAGCATGCCTAGAGGAGCCTACACTGTGATCCCCACGTCTTGATTTTTGTCAGGTGAAAGGGCCTTAGCAATGTTCTCAGAGGGTGCTCAGGGCCCACGCCCTAGAGCAAAGAAGCCTCAAGCCTCAGCTGGGAAGTGAGCCTCTGACCCCCCTCCTCTCCCCATTCCATTACACTCCAGCAGCCCAGGAGGAGGGGGAAGGTGAGGGCTGGCTGACTCAGCCTGCAAGTGCCTAGAGCTCTGGAGCTGAAAGGCCCCAGCGCTGTGAAGCTAATGATTATTATTAACTCTGAGCAGGCCTTGGTGCTGCAGCCAGCTGGCTCAGGGAGGATGCCTGGATCTCCCACAGTGAGGTTTGAAAAACAAGACCCAGAGCAGCCACGCACGGGGGCGGGGTGGAAGGGTGGGGTGTCAGGGACTGGGAGGGGCAGTCTGCCCTGGGGGCCGGTAAGGAGAGGAGGAACAGGCTGGCAAGGGACAGCAGCTTACCTTCGACGCAGCTCAACAGCCAAGGTGAGGCTGGAAGGCTTCCCCAGACACACAGCTCCTGCCATTCAACACCAACCCCAGCCCGGGTGGGGCTCCAGGGAAGAAGTGGTTACTGGGAAAGATTGGAGGGGGGGGAGGGTCTGAACCCAGAACAGTAATCCTGTTACCATTTGGATTTGGTTACAAAAAACATCTACATTTCTAATGTCCTCAAGGTTGAGTCTGAAATATAATCATATTTGGAATCAAGTCTTAGTGAGCCTGATATGCAAATCTGTGCAAATGACATGCATTTTTTTAATTTGAGCACCCCGCTTTTTTTTTTTTAAGGCAAAACAGGCTGACTACTAGCATCTTTCCCTAGCCAGAGAACAAGGGCAAAAGGGCAGCCATTTGCTTCTTCCCCCCAAGGCCTCTGCCTCACTGCCGAGGTGCCCAGCTAACAACCCAGACGGGGAGATACAGACAGCTGGGGGGACCAGAGGGCCTACGGAGGAGGAAATGCACACGAGCAGGAGGTGCATGCAGCAGGCAGCCACCCAGCTCCCAGTGGGAGGAAGAGTGCCCTGGCACTGAGGTCTGATGGTTGTCCAGCTGCTGCCCCAGGACGTGAGGGCAGGTGGCGATGGAGGGAGAGACACAGGAGGGGGGCCGGAAGTACCCCCCAACAATCTGGCCGCCGGGGAAGAAGGGCTCCTCCTGGTGACCTACTCCCCATACTGCAGTCAGACAGGCTCCGCAGAAGACCACCTGTGCCCTCCTCTCGGCCCTGTGCCCCTGCCCTACAGGCCTCCTGGTCAGAGAGGTGCCAGCTGGGGCCCCTTCCTCCTGCAGAATATAAATGACTTCCCCCTTCCTCCGAGGGCTGGGAATAGACATCAGCTGGCACAGCCCCCGCAGAATGCCGGCTGTCAGCCCGCCCGGCAGCCCCCGCACCACCTGGGAGCAGGCAACACCTCAGGCAGGCTCAGGCTTTGGGGCCCTGGCTGCTTGGCTCGCGGAAGCTGGTGAACCTCACCCCGCCCTGTCACCCTGCTGGAGACAGACTCCCAGCACTGGCTGTGACGGGGGGAGAGGAGATGGAGTCCCTGAGCAAAGTGACCCTAGATAAGAATGTCCTTCATGCGGCGCCAGGAGCCATCTCTTCCGAGTTCAGACCACACTGGGTAGTCTCAGAGGGGAGAGAAGGCAAGGAGACAGGAATAATCACCCTCTGAAGAGCAGAGACCCCCCCAGAGATTCCCTCAGAGGACACCCCATGCCTGGATTGTTAAACCATACCAGTCTCCTTGCTTCTGAACCACTCAGAGAGGGAGGTCTTCAATCTTAGGAAGACCTGGGGCACCTAAATTACTGCCTTCTAGGAATACCTGCCCTGCTCCCGGGACCTGGGGCTCCAGCCCCTACACCCAGGCCCCCCAGAGCTTCCACTGAGCTGTCTACCTGCCTCAACACCAGCTTTCCTGGCGCGGCTGTCTTCAGTCCTTGCCATGATCTATGGAGGTCCCATCCCCACCCCCACCCCCGCCCCCCTACCCTGACCGAGCCAGACCACTATTAACCAGTCTGGCACCCAGCTCACCACTAAGGGCAGTCTGGGGCACTACCTTCAGTTTGGAACAAGGAGGGGGTTTCTGCAGGGAAAAGGGCCCAGCCCTTTTTTTGCCAGCTGGCGCCCCACTCAGCCCCATCCCGGGCCGAAGAGCTGGCAAGAGACAGCAACTGAGAAGAGCTTAGCTGAGAAGGGGAACCAGGGAGACTTTGTTTTTCCTAGATCAGAAAAGCCCTACCCCATTTCCTAGCTCTCATTTTGTTCTAAAAGCTTTGGATTACCTCCACAAAGCTATGTGCTAGGGCAAGTACCTGAGAACAAGGAAGGGCTAGGAGATGCTCAGGACTACTGTACCGCTCAGAATGCGTGGCAGGGAAAGGCGCTCGCTCATGTCCTGCAGCCCTCAAGCCCGGATTCTGAGGTGGGCTGAAGGACGTTCTTAACTGAGCTAAGAAGCCCAGCCAGGAGCCAGAGCCTTGCTGAAGCCAATGCCCTTCTGTTCCTACAAAAGCTTTAAAGTGACTTTAGTGCTTTTAATTGTCTTGGAGTTCAAGAGAGCCTATCTGGGACTCTTCTCTCCACAGTGCCTGACCCCCTGTGCCCTAGTCCAGGAGCCCAATCGGCAGATTCCTGGAAGGCCACGAGAGCAGACCTGTCCCTGCAGAGGGAATGACGTCCTGAGTCGGCTTAGTGGTCCAGCCCATAGTCCAGAGCGGGGAGTGTGTTCTGTGGCATCAACCTGATAGACACTGAATGTTGGAGATTGTTTAGAAACACATCCATGACACAGATGCAGAAACTGGTCCCGAGACACGTGACTTGCCTAAGGTTGCCCAGTAGATCCTACAGGAACCATAACCCAGGGTCTCTCTCCACACTGCTTTCCTGAAGACCCCAAAAACCACTGCTGTCACTCATAAGTTACCAGAACCCAATTCTCCATCGGGTACACAGGCAAGAAATGACTGCGAACACCATCACCACCACCACCCAACACTTCCGTCTCCCAACAAGAGTGGAGGCTTCAGGATCAAGCACCCCACCCCCATCACCTTCCAATGCACCCAGTATACTTCCCCATTTCAGCCCACTGAGTAGTCATCAGAAATAGCAATTTGGGTTTCTGCAGCCCTTGGCCCAGCTAAGAAGTGCAAAAACCCTACCACTTCTGAAATGGATCCCCTGAAGGTCACCAAAGGGAACATTTAAGTCCGAGGCAAGTGTCCCACCTACATTTAGAGTTCGCAGGAACTCACATTTCCATTTTCTTCTTTGGCAAGTAGGAGCTGGAGATCTGGTGCATGATCACCAGGGCCGGATAGAGGGGCAGTGCCAGGCACAGGTACCAGGCTGTGCCTTTGATCTGGGCCTGGAACCACACCGAGTACATGCCCAGGAGCACCGTTACTGTAGCCATCAGGTAGACCACCAGTCCACAAGTCAGATGGTAGAGCTTGAGGCGAGCCACCCTTGAGACCCTGGCTGCTCGAGGACACAGGAGACAGAACCCACACAGTGCCTGACCACTAGTGGCGAGCAGTGTCAGAGCCCCGACCCAGCTGTGCCAGGACACCAGGTGGGGCAGCTCACTGCGGGTCCTGCTGAAGACGATGAAGCCCAGGCCCAGGGCTGCAGAGAGGATGGCTAGGGTCTGCCCTGCCCAGTGGAGTCGGATCCGGGCCTTTCGGGAGCAGAAGAAGAACAGGGAGTGTTCAGGCGAGAAGAGCAGGATGGCCTCAGCCATGCAGAGGCAGAACTGTGAACACAGGAGAGGGCCAGTGAGCCTCAGGCCCAGCGTGGAGGCCTAAGAAAAAGGAGGTGCTCTCACACATCTAAACAGGGACGACAAAGGGTGGAGGCTAAAGATCTCCCACCAGGACCTCCTGCCTCACAAGTCAGCACTTCCGGGCACAAGTGGGAATCAACACCTGAGTGGAAGTCTTATCATTCAGACTGACCTCCATGCCTACCTCCTCCACAGGCAATGATGACTCCCCATTTCTTGCCCAATGTTAAGCAAATCTTTAGCAAATGTTAAACTGCCTCCTGAACTTTGCGGGGAGAGGGGGTGGGGGGGTGAGGGTGGGGAGGGAGCTGGGGGGTGCCTGGACAGCACCACTTCTACTTCCTCCTTTCAGACTCTAGGGGAGAAAGACACATCTTCCATACCCTCCCAACCCCCCTCAACCACCTGACACTAACTACAGCCCAGCCTTCCATGTCTCCCAATTAGGTTGCAGGGGAAGATGGGGCCCTTGCTCTTTCCCCCACCTCTCTGAGCCTTAGAAGGGCTGAGCCTGCGAAGGCTGGATGCTTCCCTAGGGGGCATTTCCAAACAAATCAGCTGCAGAAAAGAAGCCCAAACTCACCGCCAAGGCCATGAATACAGGGTGCCAGGAGAAAAGACCTAAGAATCAAAGAGAACAGACTGACGGCTGGGCACCATGTTTCTGCCCCTGTGGCTGGCTGGAGCCCAAAGAATCCGGCTACAGGGGACAGGCCAGTGTACCATTCCCAGCCCGAATCAGGAACTCCGTGCAAAGCGGAGCAGCCAATGGGGCTTAAGGTGAGCAACCAAGGGGACAAACCCGTCTGGCCTGGGTTCCCCATCCGGCAGCTCGCAGCTGTCAGCCCAGTCCTAGAATGGACCTTGGCCTCCTTTACTTGTATCCTCCACGCGGGGCTCCGCTTCTGATGAACTGGTGAGTTCAACTGAGTGTCTGCCTTCCCACCCCCGCTCCCAAAGCCCCACCCTTCCAGGACCCACCTCCCGGGGCCCGCCCCACCTCGCCGTTACTACCCCTCCACAGCTCGCCCCTCCACTGAGGCGGGGGAGGGTCCCCACTCCAGATCTCGGAGCGCTCCCAGCGACGCTCCCCCAGCATATCCCGGCTCCGCCCCCCCTTCCCTGGCCCCGCCCCGCCTTGCACACTCACTGGTTCCTGGCCGGGACAACACAGTCATAAAGATGGTGAAGCCTAAAGCCACCAGGTGCGCCAAGATCCCACTCCCTGTCCGCAGCCAGAGGGTCAGTCTCGGCTCCCTCGCCGGAGCGGGAACCAGACCTACCGCCAGAGGCTGCATGGCCGGGCCGGGCCGGCGCACACTCCCAGCTGCTGGAGCGCGCCTTCCGGGTTTGCGATCGTGGAGGCGGCCGCAGCGGCGGGAGAGGCCCCTCCCCCGGCCGCCGCCGGCAGTACGGCGGCCTTGCCCACAGCGCCCCCTGGGGGCTGGGGGGAAAGCGCGTCGGCCCTGGAGAGCCCCGGGGGCAGAAGCGGAGTAGACCACGGGGCGGCCAGCCTGGTTTCTTCGGTCAACCTCATTTGTAATCTTTATGGCCACAAGGGCTTACGTCTCAAGTAGCCTGTGGAAATTACACTTATGGCAACGGATTTCCCCCAAACCCCAATCACAAACTCCGAGCACTGAACCAAGAGTGTGAAACCAGCGCTTGGAACCGCCTTCCAGAAACACTGGATTTCTCGGCCTGCCCACACCCTCCTGCCATCCCTTCTTCCGTCTTGTTAAAGGAGTTAAGAGTCCTCCCTGCCTAAAAGCAAGGACATTGGAAGGTAAGGACCAGGCCAAAAACTAGTGCCCATGCCTGGTGAGTTCAGGTTTGAGGACCCAAGTTGGGAGAGGCAAGTGTCACCCCTATCGGCACACCAGCCTCCAGTGGGATAAATGGAAGAACCAGGGCACTGCTAGCCCTTCCCACCTCCACACCATCTGCTTGGCCCTGGGGGGCCAGGTGACCCTGAGGGACCAGGACCTCCCACACTCCTGCTGCCTCCCACACCAGAAGTTTTCTAAGCGATCCTACCTTTCCCCTTTCTGCCTCCAAAGAGGTGTGGTTCAGCTTGAGGAGGCCTACCTGGAGCAAACCCACAGGCCAGGGACAGGGGCCAAAACAGGCTGTCCCACAGAAATCCCGGACATCCTGAGAGCAGTTACCAACTCAAATCGAGCTCCCCCCATAGTTGAGAAAATAAGGCTGCTAGGGCGAGGCGGCAAGGGCAGGAACAGCTGAAGAGACTGAGTTCAGAGACAGGATGGAGGCCCAGCGTTGCTGGAAGACTGGAAAAGGGCCCCGGGCGAACTCCCACAGACCCTCAGGGCAAAGACCTGAGAGGAGAGCCAGAGGAGTGGCTCCCTTGCCCCGGTCAAGTTTCCCTTCCCAACGGGACCGGAGTCATCTCTGGGATAAAGATTCTGGCGAGCCTTGCTCACTCAGAGCCATATGCCTCATCATCCTCTCTGGAGAGAAGACTCCACCATGACACAAACCCCAGCCATTCCCACACCATTTAAAAGGACAAAAATACATGAGCAAGCGCCGGGAGCTGGAGTCTGGCTGCCTATCATCTCTGCCTCCCGGGGTGCGGATGGGGACAGCACGGACACTCATTTTATTCCATCTTTTTCCTTCCTTTTCTATGTTTCTGTTTTTACATTTTCTTAGCAGCAACAGAACAGGGAGACAGTCTTGAGGTATTTTAAAGAGTTTTTTTTCTTAAAAAAAATAATATAAAGTTATAAAAAGCGGCCGCAGCCTGGGGCCCGGATCTGGAGGGGAGGAGGTGCTGACGGCTCCGTCGCAGTGGGCAGGCACTTTCTTGTTAATGGGCTTTAGACTGCAGGAAGACAAGAGGCAAGAGACACGGTCAGGCTAGGGGCACCCAGTGAACTGTGTGCACCATTAGAGCTAAAGCTTGCTTTCCTCCTGGCTGGGCTGGTGACGAACGCTGGACGAGGGGAAAGATGAATGCCAGCCGAGCAGGGACAGCCTGAGAACATCCGTGCGCGTGCGCGCGCGCGCACGCGCACACGCACACACGTGAGGGCACTGTCCGACTCACTACTCTCATATGGGTGCCAGAAGAGTGCGTATGCATCTGGCCCGTGCCTACAGCGGAAAAGCAGCCCCCTTCTCACCGCCGGTAAGTCCCTCCTGGCCGAGATCCTCTGGACAGCCCAGAGTGTGCTACTCCAGGGCTCCTGTCAGAAGAGGCACAGAAACCTGGCTGCTGGCTTTCCCAGAAACCCTGGAGGACTTGCCTGGCACCTGAAATTCTGGAAGTGGGCACCTATGCATACATGGACCTCGCGTGGTGTCCCTGCCCTTCCAGGCCCTGATGCCCAGAGGCAGAACCCATGAACAAGACCAGCCTGCCCACCCCGCCGCCCAGCATATCAGGCCACGGCTCAGCGACCCACGCTCAACCCCGCTGCCCAAACCTTTCCCCATCAGAGTTCATGAAGTCCAACTTCCTTTCCTTCAGGGGACAGAGGTAGCTCCAGTTCCTGGTGTGAGGGGTCAGAAAGTGGCCCTTTCATTGAAACAGAAGCAAATGTGGGGGCAGGGGAGAGGTAGCATCTCCTCAGCTCAAGGGAGAGCTAGTGGAAGGCCCATCAAGCAAAAGCTGGGTCACCTTTCAAAGAGCTGACCCACCTCTCCCTAGAAAAGACAGCCCAAGAACTCTCTCAACTTCCCCTTTCAGAATCCCTTCCCTGCCCAAACGTTTACTTAGCACCTTCTCTGTGCCAGGTGCCCACTGTGCGTTCTACCCTCGTCCATCCTGATCTCTCCCTGCCCGTGCTCTTCAGGGAGCTGGGCTGGTACCTTCAGTGCAGAACATTTCTCCTCAAAGGCCATGGCAGGCCCCGGCTTCTTGCGGCGCACGGAGCAGGCCGCATCGGCAGGGCCACCGGCCTGGCAGTGCTTGGCCTTCACCGGCCGGCAGTAAGTAGCCAGGTTTTTCCGCTTCTTGGCTACCTCCTCCTCGGAGAGGCAGTTGGTGGACAGGGCCTTGGCTGGGTGTCCAGCTGCTCCCCGGTTGTCCAGCTGAGAAGCCTTGACGGGTGTGGGGGGCTGATGAGGGGAGCCCCGACAGTCCAGAGGCCCTGCCCGCTTCACTCTTGGCCCCACCGTCCCATTAAGCCCCAGGCCCAGGGCTGTTTTAGTCTTGGCCGAGAGGCCCCGGCAGCCAGAGGGTTTGCCTTTTCCAGAGGGCTCCAGGATGCAGGTCCGTTTGAAAGTGGTAGGGCCTGGGGATAACTTTCGCTTTCGAGAAGGGGCCTCCACCTCAACCCCGTCCTTGCCTTTGGACGACTTGCTGGCCTTCGAAGGCGGGAGTCTGCTGAAGGATGGGGATGGCGTGTTGGCAGGCAGGGGTGAGGTGATGGCCTGGCTCCCGCCCATGCACTCCGCCTGGCTGCAGGCCGCTGCCACGCTGGGAGAACCTGCAGGGTAGCTGGGGACAAGGCTGTCCTTGGCGGGGGGCGTGGAGGCTGGGCAGGCGGGTCGGGGGGGTGGGCCTGGAAGGCGCGGGCAGCTGCCCGTAGAGGATGGGCTCAGGGGAGCAGAGAGCGGGGAGCTGACAAGGTGGGATGGAGGCTCAGCCGCCGGTGGGATCTTCCTGCAGTAAAAAGAGAGCTCGGCTGTGACGCTAGGCAAACAGGAGGACCTCCCCACCAACCTCCACCCGGCTCTCTGCCCCACCTAGAAATGGCCCACAGAGCCCTGGCCTTGCTGCCATCTGCTGGGAGACACTGGAACTGACGCTTAGGAAGAGAGCACACGGGTAGGCAGGAATGAACGAGTATCTAGACCCATTCAGAACCTCATTTCAAACTTCAGTTTCGGCATCTCCTATCCCTAGTTACCCAAAAGGTACTGGAAGTGACGGATAAGAGCCGGGCTTCACTCCCACACCACCCACTCTTGCCCTGCCTCGGCCCAGCCTCAGGCTGTCAAGTTCCCCCACGTCCTCTTCATTCTATCTGGGGTCTTGCCAAACAGCCGAACCGCATCTATGGGTAGGTGAGAAGAGTGAGAGCTTCTGAAGCCCATGGGTGTCCGGGGCCCGCGATCTAAAAAGGGCAGTTCCAGGCCCAAAAGACTCACTTCCACATGTGTGAGCTGAGGTGCCGTTCCAGCATGGAGCTCAGTGCTGAGCAGAACCGGTCCAGCCGGCGGCTAAACACGTAGCATCCTGGACTCACCAGCCGGCTCCCAAAGGTGCAGAACTAGAGGCAGAAGGAAGGGCCACGGTTAGTGGGGCCTGGGACGCAGGAGGGCTCCTGCGCAAAGGATCTGTGGGCCAGGAGGGCTGGGCCACCCCCCACCCCAGGTCCCTGCCCCAGGTCCTTACCGCCTGTGGCCGCGGGGGCCGGGTTGCATAATGGCAGTCAGGGGGGAGGTGGAGGTCCTCAGATGTCCCTTCCTCCTCACTCTCCTCGCTGGAGGCCTGGGCCCCACCCCGGGGCAGGGGAAAGGGGAACAGGCCTGGGTCCCCATCACCACCACAGGGGCCTTCATCATCCAACTCACTCTCAGAGGAGGCCCGAGACCTGGAAGGGCCAAAGGGGATGTGAGGGCAAGGAGACCGGAGTGGGTCAGGGTGGGGGTGTCCCTGAACCCGCCAAGCTCCAGAAAGCCAGGGCAGACCCCCTGCTGAGCAAGGAGACAAAGAGGAAGGAGGACAGCAAGGGAGGAACAACAGAGCTCACAGAGTAAGAGCCAGAAAGGTCAGGGGCCACAGCTCCCAAGGGATCCTCTCCCCAGCCCCTTCATTTCCCAGGCCCTGCCTCCTCGGGGGGAAATCTGCTCCAGATTCGCCACCTCCAGAAAATCTTCTGAGTTTAACTGCACCCAGCTCTGGTCAGCCCAGTCAATTCCCTCAACCCCCTTCTTGCATCACATATTCCTGTGAGCCTGCCTGTGAGCTGAGCCTGTTTCGGGTCTGCCCCTTGTGTTACAGGCAGACATGCGTGTGTCTCTCCTTCAGCAAGGTGGGCTCTCCCCGGGCTCCAGCGCAGCCTCTGCACACGAAGGGGCCAGTGAATGAATACACAGTAGGACTGCCTCACGCAGGACCCTGACCCTTTCAGTTCCCCCGGGACAAGTTTTGGCCTGAGAGAAGCAGCTGGGCCAAGGTTTTTATCCCAGGCAGTGGAACCAGCACCCTAGAGAGAGGCTGAGGCATAGCGGTGTTGCGCTGTGGTAGGAGCAGGGAGTCACCTACTTCCGCACCACTGCCAGGGGCCCCAGCTATCCCCCCAACTCGGGGCGGAGTGAGACTCCCTGGACCTGTCTCCCGGGGTCCCTGATGGCTTGGAAC